ATAAAAAGTAGAAGGTTAAACTTGAACAAAACCATTTTTTTAAATATAAATAAAAACTGACTTGATCACTCATACACAAATCCTTTCAATATGACAATTCCCTCTTTCAAGAAGACCATACACACATTTAAAACAATTTCCAAAGAGTAAAAAAAAAATGGAAAAATTCATTACCTCATGGACTGCCATATCATCATCATCACATTGCTTAAAGGTGATGCTTGGTTGGATGACAAAACCAAGTACAGGTTCTTCTGCAGCTCCTGTCACGAAAACGAGCATTGAACTTAAGGTAATGGGTTCCCTTCTTCCACTGGCTAMTTGTCTTATGTACTTGATCAATAGGGAATATAACTCCTTTTCTTTCAAAAAGGAAGAAGATCCCTCTTCAGAAAACTGAGGCTTTAACATATGAATGAGCTTCTTGGCTGTCATAGTAGTATTACTTGGCCTTAAAAGATGGAGAAGCACTGGAAGTCTTTGACAAATTTGCCTTAGTCCAAACTTGTCCAACCCTCRCTTTAGATTGGCAATGCACTCATTTGGACTGTTTATATCCGTTAAAGTGTTTGTGATTTCCGATGGCAAGTAGCTTGGCAGCTGGCCATTTTGCATGAGGGCTATGCCAACCATTATGCCGACGAAATAGTACTCCTCTGATAGGAATTGCTTGATGCCACTGTCAAAATACTTTTCCTTTATTGATGCATTGATAAGCCTGATCCACTCTTTCCTCGGACCACCATGGYCTTGCGCTATTTCGCCAATAAAATCAACTTCGAAAGTAATATTATAGTCCTCAATGGACTCCAGTTCTGAGAATGTTGAAGTGATCAGGTTATGACGATCAACACAAATGTGGTTTGTCTCTCCMTCTAGAGTCTCGCTACTGTCACTTATCTCCAAGGCTCTTCCCTTAACCATTTCTTTCTGGAGAAATCTTAAGATTTCCACTGGGTCAAGAAGAGATTGCTTTTGGATTTCCTTGACCAAAACATCAATATCAATCCCACTAAAGTTAGGACACAGAGTTGCAGGAGTTGCAGGCATTGTGATGGTCGCATGTTGGGTGCTTTCTTTCTCTGTTTCTTGCTTCGCTTGGGAATTCTGTGTCATTTCAGATTCTTTTTTCTCTCCAAAGGTTGGCTTACTGAAAGTCTCATCGTCTTTATCATCATCTGAAATCTCTATATCTGGTCTACCACCACTCTTTTCCTCATAGACAAAATTAAATCCTTGCTTTACTTTTAAGTAAAGCAGGCCCTGCCCTGCCAGCTTCTTGACCACAGGATAATTATACTCAGTTCCAGGGCTAAGTTCAAGGCATTTAATTTGTTTGTATCTAACCTTGGCAAATTCAAAGTCGTCTTTCCCAAGTAAAGGTAGTTTACTGCTCAGCGATTGTGTGATGGCTAACCTGATAGTATCTTCATCATCTTCTTCGCCAACCAACAATATTCCCTCGGCCACGACCGAATCCCATTTTAAATTGTAMGGTTCTTCATCATCTTCTTCAAAGCACTTTAACAAAGCGAACTCCAGTGGCTTTTTCGTCTTAACTTTTACTGGCTTTGATGGTCTACTACGAGATGTWCTTGGGAGCTGATAAGGATTTGCAGCCCTCAATCTTTCATTACGATTAAGACGTCTGAAAAGACCTGACGAGGAACCTTCCTTTAACATATTACTTTGGCTACTCTGGTGCTGTTGGTTTCCTCCATTTCCACTAGCCTCTGATTTTAAGATTGAAGATGCCTCTTCCAGCATTTTAGCCACACGATKGACTTTATTTTCCATCTTTCTTTATACAAAAACGCTTCCAAGAAATTTCACAACTCAGTTCAAGTAAAGATGGTATGTAGCGCGGTTGTAGAGCGCGGGAAATTTTTCTAGTTCCCAGTTTGCCCAAACCCTGATTTGGCCGAGCCCGTCCCAGGAATATTAAATAAAAATGTAAAGTTTAAATACGAAATTCAAATCTAACTAAATGATTTTGAGTTTAAAAATATTTATGAAGTTTAAATAAAAGTCTGTAGAATTAAATAGAAATTTTAAACTTCAGAAAATTAAAAAAAGGAATAAATTAAATATGTTTTTTACACTTTTAAATAWTTAAAGCCATGATTTAAATATTTTATTCGTGGATGAAATATTTTATTTGTGTATTAAATAGTGCTACCATTGGCTTGCCATAATCTATGGTACGAAGAAAAGCGTCATGAAATTGAGATATTCTTTTCAGCAATGAATGAGTGGACAGTGATGGCTAAGGATAAGATTGAACAACAACTCGACAAGTCCCCGTCTGATAACGTGAGCACCACATCAAAAAGATCATCAATTAGAGCCATCGAAAGGGCAAAAGTGGCAGAACTATTAACCCAGTCAGCCTTGCTTGAAAAGAGACAAACCTTGCGTAATCAGATRGAGAAGCTAGAAATCGAAGAACGGATAGCTGTTGCTAAAGCACGTAAGCAAGCATTGATCGAGGCAGAAGAGGTTAGAGATTCCYAATTACACCTAAAGGTAGTAGAAACACCACAGACAGCGCCTACCTACYTACCATCTCAAATGAGAGAACCGTATGAAGATGAACAATCGTTAGCAAAGACTTTTYCGGAYTTTYACCTCAARCCCTCATTAYATACATTGGCCTTTAAGAAAGAGCCGACTACGCCCAAGCCTCGACGAACAGTCAATATAGATCCCACTCCATCACCTATCAAAATATCACCAATTCCTTCATCCATTGCAACAAAAACTCCTAAACCAGGCATTTACAGAAGCAGCAGTTAGGGGGACTCGCGACAGGGGTACCGTATGAGTCGGGTATTACCCCCGCCAAGTACCACCGGTCCCCCGTGGGTATTCTTCGCATTGCCCCTAACTGCTGCTGTGTTTGTGTCGCAAACGAGGGTTAATATATTTGTTATATATAGATGGACAACATCTCGAGCATTCGAAACAAGACGGTACGCAAATTACGAACGCAGGTCTTAGATAGGCTTGACGCTGACTTCGCCTTCACGACATTTACAGAAGGAAACGTGGAAGAAATAATGGATGAGGAGAGAGCAGAAAGAATAATAAGCCTGATGCCAGATGGCGATTACCGCGTACAATTGACGTTTATAAAGTACTTAGACGGCGAATGGACAATAGAAAGGGGGCGTAACCCAATTCGGGCGTCTGGTAAGCAAAGCTTATTTTTCCTAAACAAGAATACCAGACCTGGAGCGCTGGTAGGAATTGATATGTTGTTTTACGAAGTTGCTTACCCTGTTACTGTGGTAATCTATGGAGCGTATGAGATTAAGAAACCAGACGTCAAGAAGCTTAGACTAATGCGACACCCCGGCAACTGCGTTGGTAAGTTGGTAAGAGAGTTCTTTTAGAAGAGTGTATATTTTTCCCTCGTTTCGGCAACCATTTTCGGCTACCTTTTCTACTCCTGCACGGGCTTTCCTGGTAGACACATTTTTGTACGATAGAGAATTCTTTTTGTGTCCTCTGCGCTGGGAACAAGCACCCGTATGGGGAGTAGGTAGAGGCGATTTGTCTCCCCAGAGTAAGAGAGCACTGTTTTGGTGCCCTTGCAAGGTAGGAACGAATTGTTCCCCCCCCCCTCCCCAAGGGCGCGACAGGACACCGCTTCCTAGCAAGGGCTGCGAAACACCTCTCTCTAGATATATGGAAGAGGAAAGCATTTTGGATTGCTATAGAGAGTTTTTCGAGTGGATATCCCACGACTACTACGTTCGCGAACGTAGAGCATCGAAACAGTGCCTATCTACGCCGCGGTAGCTGTGCCAGAGTGGCTATGTAGCCCGGTATGCGAATTCCCTGTATTGTCTTTTGTGTAAAGTATTTGTGTCGTCCTTTGTTTTCCTAGCATGTAGCTGGCTATGCCTAGAGCTATGTAGAGATACATTTATATAAATATAGACCCACGGAATACCCCAAGCTATCTAGACATGGAATACCGTATTCGTAGATATATATGGCAACACCCAAAATACTATCCGAGGAAGAAATCGCAGGATTGTTGGAAGATCGCAAGAACGGTGTGGGGCTGCAAAAGGTAGCCAAGAAGTACGGCATAGGCATACCAAAGATACGCAGGATAGAGCGAGAAAATGGCTTGGAGGTAGCAATTCCCGAAAAGCCACCAACTACAGACCTGCAGAAACATTTCCTAGAAGTACAGGATTCCTTTGCTATAGTCCTCGACGACTTGCAAAAAGCTAGAGAAGAACTACGGGACGCAAAGGAGGAACTACTCGCCAAAATGGACCAGGAAGAAGATTCGTTCGAGAAAATAGACGTGGAAGAAATAGAGAACGAAGTAGAGGAAGTATCCACGAAAATAGACTGGCAAATAGCTAGCAATGTGCTATTTGCAGTCGTAGGCATAGCTGCCGTCGTTTGGGCACACAACAAAGCACCCAAAGTCGTCTACTATACGCGCCCGGAAACTCCCAAACCGAAGTCTAGGATTCCGGAGATGGAGTAGATACGCGCACCAGTCRGTCTTTCTTCTTTGCTTTGGTAGTCTTTTCTCTACCAATCTTGCAATACAATGGCGGCTGCATTGTCCAGTCTATCTTTTGCTCGTCCAGAAAGTGTCCCCAGACCGGAGTAGTAGCATGTTCTACCGTACAGCCCTCCAATACGCACTCTGGACATTTCTGCGWAAGGAACAGAATTGTCCTTTCCTTTTTTCTGTAGGTGGTTTTGGCGTACTTCCAGCATTGGTACTCACCCTCCTGCATGCGCAGCGCCTGCACGCATTCTTTGTTTGGCGGCGCAGGCACTTCTAGTAGTCTTTCTGGATTTCTGGGAATCGAATAGTCTACTTTCCTAGCCAATTCGTAGTACGTGTCCAGACCGGGTCCTTCGGGTACGAATGCAGTTGCTATGTTGTTCTTCCACTCCACCAATATTTCTTCTCCTGGAATGGCTATGCGCATGTTCTCGTCTGCTTCGAACTTTCCAGCCGCGCACGCTTCCAGTATAGCTTCCGTAGCCCACGCAATGCAGGTCTCTTTGCCTTTTCGCAATGCTACGCGGTGTCCTCTTGCCAACCAAACGGTATCTACGTTTTTGGGTACTGTGTATCCTAGTATTTTGTACTCCCCTGCGGGTATTTCTTGCATTCGATGTACTTTGGGTCTCTCGTATCCCTCCAGGTAGGACTCGGGGCCTTCGAAGAACAATCCGCGTAGGTTTTGGTTCTCCTGGAAATTCTATCCAATAGCTTTCTGTACTTTTCCAACTCTTTCTCTATGGCTTTCCTGTCCTCTTCCTTTTGCCGCAGTACGGAGTTCCTTTGCTCCAGGAGTTCTGCGTGGTATCTTTTCGTGGCTTCGACCCACTCGTCTCCTTCCAAATCGTCCCGTATGTCTTCCAATCTTTGCTGTCGTCGTCTGTTGGACAAGAAGGATATCCTGCGGCTGGAAGGCACTTCTAGTATTCCGAAGGGACTCTTGTCCACTCCGATCCTTTGCGCCTTCTTCGTGCGCCAAACCCACTCTACGTGCTCCGTGGCGGGAAGCATCGTAGCGATGGCGGGGGCATTTGTGTGTACTCGAGTGGGAAACTTAGACTCCGCCAGTATGGTAGGAGAGTCCTTCGAGTAGCAGCGAAGCGGAGCTATCTCCACCGGGTCTGTTCCTAGGATGTCCACGCGAAAGATAGGACAACGACGCAATCCAAACTCTGCTATGGTCCAAAGTACGCATTGCTCCCACTTTTCGTTGCCTCGAACTCGCACGCCGGCTATGCGTCTTGTTCCCAAATTGCAGTACCACGCTAGGAATATTTCTCCCGTCTCTTCGCAGCAAATGCAGCAGCATCTATCCAAGTGTTCTGCGAGAGCCAACCACATATTCTTTGGCGGCTGTACTACGAATATGTCCTGCAAAGGTTCTAGCGTCTCCGCAATAGCGTTGGTGTGGGATTTGGAGAAGTCTTTTCCATAGATGGATATTTACACTCTGGTACATCCTCTCGCCTGCACATCTGGGTGCAGGAATGTCCTACGCAGGTGTTCGTTCGGACAATCCACGTACTCTGCCAACTTTGCGCCTACTGGATTTTGCACTTCTCCGGCTTCGAAGTTGGATACTATTTTGTTGCATATCTTCGTCCGTTTGCCGTCTTCCATC